GGGATGGGGGTGGAAAGGTGAAAAACAAAAGGGACAATTAGCGAAGTGTTTATTTGATAAATAGTGTGACGACGGAGGGGGTGAGAGGTGGGAGTTAATTATTCTAATTGATATTGACCGTATTATTTTGTATACGTTTTGTTCATAGTTTTCGTTGTCGCTTCTGTAAATTGTCTAATTGTTTTGTTGTTGTTTCTTTGGTTGTTTAAAAAAAATTTTTTTAGCTGTTTTGTGTTAATCTTTTGTTCTTGTTTTTATTTTTGTTGTAATGCTTGTGTCGTCGTGACTAATATTATTATTGTCAGCCCTGTATTCTGATGTTGGTGCAACTGCTGTTGTCGTCGTCATCGCTGTTGTTGTTGGTGGTGGTGCTGTCATAGTTGTTGTTGCTGTTGGTATTGCTGTTATTGTTAGCTATTGTCGTCGATGGGTGGTTTTTGTTAACGTGTCATTTTGGGGTGGTGGGGTTGTTTTTTATATAATTTATTTTATGTGATTTCAGAAGCGAGCGAAAGGAGTGTGTATGTGTGTGTGTGTGTGGGTAGTCTTACGCTGAACGTTCCCTCGAGCGGCAAATATAAAGATGCCGTAGTAATGTTAAAGGTGAAATTCTTTACTTTGCTAGCACAATGAGCTCGCGCTGATCACGGCGTAATCTCAGACGTCCCTCCAGCCACCTGGGACTTACATTCCAGCCGATTAGATCAAGTAACCAGCAAATAGAAAGACCAAACAAAAACAAAGAAAGAAGAACAGTAGAAAAAAAGAAAAATGTTAACCTTTTCAGTTACGTGGTACAACTCTCTTATCTCTCATAATAGACCCTTTCTTTTGTTAAAATTTTGCCTCTGATAACAGAGATTGAATCAAATCGGGGTGCTTTCTTTCGGAAAGAAGGGACGAAAAGCGTATGATCCCGTTTATTGTTACCCAGTTACAAAAGGAATTATATGGCTTTTGGGATTTCTTGAAATAGGCTGTTGAATTGTAGAAGTCAGTCCCTTGGTGGAGAGGGGGCGGCATTTTTTGTTTACTTTGATTTTAGTTATTTATAATCTTTTTGCGGGGGTAGCGAAGGGTTTGGGGGGTTGAGTTTGTTTTTTTGTTGTTGTTTTTTTGCTGTTTTGGTTGCTTTTTCGGGGGGGAGGGGGGTGTTTGCTTGTTCTGCTTTATCTTGGGTTTTTGTAGGGGGTTTTGACATTTAGATTTTACATATCTTTTGTTTGTTTTTGTTTTGTTTTTCGCGGGGTATTTTTTTTTTGGGGGGGGGTAGTTTTTTTTGTTTGTTTGTTGTTGTTTTTTTAGAGGTGTGTGTGTGTGTGTGGGGAGGTATCTTTTTGATACTTTTGTCGTCGTTTGTATGATTGTAATTATCTTTTATGCTGTTTGGATTTTTTTGCCTTTATAATCTTCGTCCTCGTAACTGTTATTGTGTAATTGTGTTGTTGGGTGGTTTTTGTGGGGGG